TAGAATAGAATAGAATAGAATAGAATAGAATAGAATAGAATAGAATATGGGAGGGAATAGAATAGAAATAGAATAGAATAGAATAAGATTAGACTAGAATAGGAATAGGAATAGGAACAGGAACAGGAACAGGAATAGATTAGAATTGAAATAGAATAGAAATAGAATAGAAATAGAAATAGGAATGGAATGGAATGGAATAGAATAGAATAGAATAGAATAGAATAGAATAGAATAGAATAGAATAGAATAGAATAGAACAGAACAGAATAGAATAGAATAGAATAGAACAGAAGTCTTTCTTTCTCTCCCCCAAATTCTGCCAGAAATGAGTCTTGGAGCAGGAGGCCTTGCAGGGTCCCAAAGACTCATTTCTGGTGGAGTTTGGGGGAGAGAAAGAAAGACTTTTGCTGCTTTCCTTGCATGCAGCCAAAAGCAGAAGAAGAAAGAAGCGGAAAGAAGCAGCCCAGTGGCCAGGCAAGGCATGTGGGGCGAGTGGGGCAAGTTTTCCCCCTCTACCTCTCACTACCTCATGTTGTTTGCAATGCAAGTGACGCAAGCCTTGTGTTCCCACATAGCCTGGATTAATTGCTTTGGGGGTGACATTTCTCTGCGGACCACCAAAAATTTCTCACGGACCACCGGTGGTCCCCCGGCTCACTGGTTGACGACCACTGACCTAGTCCAACCCCCTGCTCAAGTCTATTCTGAATATTAGCCTCTACCTGGGATCGAATTCGCAGCCTCCTGATTGTGACACAAGAGCTCCATCTCTAGGCCACCGGAGCTTCAGAACCGAAGAAGCTTCTTGGATGAGAAGTGAAATGTTTTCAAAGGGAAAAAGAAAAGTCCAGAAGCCTTTTGGAAAAAGCACCTCTTTGAGACCAGCCTGACCTGGATGACTGAGACAATCTCCATGAGACGTTTGACCCGTAATATTCAAATCCTCATTTATCGATAGACAAGGAGACTATTAAATCCAGTTTGCACCCTACTTTGCTTTTTCAAAAACATGAAATGTCGTTAGCGTGATTGACCCCTGGCTGCAGCATTCAGTTGTGATGAATCTTCCGTTGACTCAAATATTTTTTCCCTGTAACCCAGCAGAATCAAAGTTTCTTCCTGCTTATTTCTGGCTAATGATCTGTTTCCAGAGATAGGGTATAGGTTTCCTTTTGGCTTACTCTACCCTTGCTTGATGTTTTCTTAACATCCTGGTCTCTCTCACCAACCAGCCTTTTGGCTCTTTGGAATTTAGGGCAGTGTTGCAATGCTGAGACAAGGAGAAGTTGCCGGTTCTATTTCTGTTTTTGTGGTCTCCATTCCTCATTTTTTTTTTTTAAAGAAAGGGCATATATCTTTAACTGCTTTGTAAGCATCCTGTACTGGGGGGGGGGGGGGGAATCTAAATACAGCAGCTTCAGATTTTTGCCTTTGCAAGCAACGGGGCCCTAAAATGTGTTTGCTCTGTTCTTCCAAGAAGGCTGGCCCCATTTTTCTTCAGCTGCTGCTGCTGCTTTGAGTCCCTTTTTGTCTTCATCTTTGAGCTGCTGAGCTGCTTCTGCCGTCAGCTGCTCAGGTAGCAAAATGTGATGTTGGTCACCGCGGGATAATCAGCCCATCTGGCAGGCAGAAATCTTGTCGGTAGTGCGATTTCGGGGGAAGCGTGGAGAGAACGTCCCCATTGCACCGCCTGGACAAGCGAGGAGATTGCAAACTTTGGCTTTCTGAGATCCAACGGAGCAAAGTGGGCAGGGCGCTTCTCGGCGAGGTGGAAGCATGCTGGCTTTCTTTGCATCCCAGGGGAAGTGGTTGATGATTAGGAGCAGAGAACGGCTGGTGTGATGGGCTGGCTTGAGGCCAATGAAACATGTGGGGTTGAGTTGGAATAACTGTATATTTCACGAATGAAGGCAAATGTAACACATTCTGCTAGAGAGAAGTTCCCTGAGGATGGGTTCTGTTGAGGTAATTCCCCGTTAGGAGAATGAGCGCATAAAGGGAGACGTATTTGAGAGGAGTGTTTGAATGATACATATACACTGTACAGTAAATGTAGGTTTTTACTTCCAGAAACGTTAAGCAAAGTCCAAAATAGGCAGTCCAAAGTCATTCACAGGTAAAATCAGTCAGTTTTCATCCAGGGATAATCCAAATATCAAATTCCAGTGTCAAAAACAGTTCAGTATCAGACTTACATTAAATTCATGAATATCAGTCAATTAGGAAAAATGGAGCAACGGCAGTACTTTCCAACAGAAGGAAACAGAGATACACTCACGCTCTCTTCTGAGACTCAGACTAAACAACCCAGGTTTCTGGCTCCATCTTATGGCCGTTTGAGAAACCACACCCAATTGCATGCTCTTGCATTCCCTTAAAGAGACAGTATTAAAATGTTTATCCTGGTTTATATATTTCTAACCCAAATAGCTGTTAGGTGACTCATATTCCTAACAGGTTCCAGTAGGAGTCCGAAACAGTGGTGGGATTCAAAAAATTTTACTACCAGCTCTGTGGTCGTGGCTTGGTGGGCATGGCAGGGGAAGGATCGCTTTACTTTCTCTTAGGATAGAGAAACCTCACCAAATTTACACATCTAATTTTGCGAGCTCTTAGTTGAACACAGGGACCGAATCTGAAATCAAGTTCGGAGGAACTATGGCAGGGGTCTTCAAACTTGACAGCTTTAAGACTTGTGGGCTTCAACTCCCAGAATTCCTCGTTCAATCATTTTAGCTCGGGAATTCTGGGAGTTGAAGTCCACAAGTCGTAAGCTTGCCAAGTTTGAAGACCTTTGAACTAGTGTTCAATGCTACAGATCCTTGTTTAATCTCTAGCAGAGCTTGGAATAAGAGTATTCAGTTGAACTCAATACCCTGGTTTTTTTTGCCTTGGTATCTTTCCATGCATCCTACCTAACGAACAGTGTGGAAATTTATTTATTTTTTTAGTGCAATCTGTTGCCTATTCTGCAACACTGATGCTCAATTTGCACCAATTCAGCCACAAAACAATTCACATCCGATGATAAATGAGCTGTTTAGACTCAGTTATTGGCATGCATGCTATTTCTATGGGTTGAAAAGAGAAAAGAAGGCAAACCCAACATTTGGGAGGCCTTTGCATATTCATGTGAATTGCAGAATAATTTACAAACGTAGGAACCAGCCATTGGGGCTTGACAGTGTTATGTCCATCAAGCTGCTTTTACCAGTGGTGGTCCGCAAGAAAATTTTGGTGGTCCGCAGAGAAATGTCACCTCCAGAGCACCCCCCAAAGCAATTAATTCAGGCTATGCAGGAACACAAGGCTGCGCCACCCACATGGCCTGCAGGAACACAAGGCTTGCGTCGCTTGCATTGCGAACAACACGAGGTAGTGAGGGGAGGGGAGAAAGGGCAGAGGGGGGAACTTGCCCCACTCACCTCACGCGCCTCACCTGGCCACCGGGCTGCTTCTTTCCACTTCTTTCTTCTTCTGCTCTTGGCTGCACGCAAGGAAAGCAGCAGAAGTCTTTCTTTCTCACCCCCAAACTCCACCAAAAATGAGTCTTTGGGACCCTGCAAGGCATCCTGCTCCAAGAGGCTGCGCCATTCTGGTGGAGTTTGGGGGAGAGAAAGAAAGACTTCTGCTGCTTCTGCTGCTTTCCTTTCATGAAGCCAAAAGTCTCTCTCTTTCTCCCACCAACGCAGCAAGCCACCGTAGGTCAAAATTCATATTAAGGATCCGCGGGATTTAAAATTATGAGTTTGGTGGTCCCTGAGTTCCAAAAGGTTGGCGACCCCTGCTCCAGACACTCCTCCCCAGGTGCAGGGCAACTTGTCCTTGACTTAATGAGAAGAATGTTGTTGAGTCTAATCTTCCACCACCCTATGCAATTCCTCCCCTCCCAAATTCCCAGGCACTAAAATGTGGCAGCTTCGAAGCTTCTAAGTAAAATATGGCTTGCAAAGCTGACCTCAAAGAGAATCGACTGGAGAAGATGCTGCCGCCTCTATTTTCATATCCTATGTTTTTGTTCGTTTTAGGATGAGGAGGAAGAAATCAAGTTGGAAATTAATATGCTGAAGAAGTATTCTCACCATCGGAACATTGCGACCTATTACGGTGCTTTTGTCAAGAAAAGTCCAGCAGGTCAGGATGACCAATTATGGGTAGGTCTCTTCTCTTCTCTTTTTTTCTGTACGGATACACCTGTTTGGAAATTTAGATAACTCTCGGTTCCCATTGAGGAACTAATTGATTCTTGGAGGGGTTCCTCATCGGACAAAATTATACTCTTCCTGGGTTTCAGTGAAGTAAGAGAAGTTCTCAGGTGTGTTCAGGAGAAAGATTAGCAAACTGTGGGGTCCTTGGTGTTCTCTGAGCTTGTTTGTTTTCGTGCAGATGTTTCATTACCCAACAAAGTAACATCTTCAGTGCTAGAAAGGAGTGAGTGGGGTTTGTGTGGAAGAGGAGGAGGAAGAGGAGGAGGAAGAGGAGGAGGAGGAGGATGTGGGGTCCTTGGTGCTCTCTGAGCTTGGTTGTTTTCTTGCAAACGTTTCATGACCCAAACTAGGTAACATCATCAGTGCTAGAAGGGAGTGAGGTTTGCAGGGAGCGGGAGGAGGAGGAGGAGGAAGAGGAGGAGGAGGAGTGCAGGGCAGCCAAAGAAGACCCAGCCAATCAGCTTTTTCTTTCTCTTTCTCCTTCTCTCTCTCTCTTCCTTTTTCTCTCCCTCCCTCTCTCTCCCACTCTCTTTCTCCTCTCTCTCTTTCTCCTTCTCTCTCTTTCTCCTCTCTCTCTCTTTCTCCTTCTCTCTCTTCTCTCTCTCTCTTTCTCCTTCTCTCTCTTTCTCCCCTCTCTCTCTTTCTCCTTGTCTCTCTTCTTCTCCCTCTCTCTTTCTCCCTCCCCCCCCCTCTGTATGATATAGTTGATTTGTACACATGGCAAAAGAGGCCTCGAGGAAGAAAGAAAATGCCAATAAAGAAGACTATTTGTAGCTCAGGGTTGAAAACTGCGGGGTCCTTGGTGCCCTCTTAACTTTTGCAGTTTTCTTGCAGAGGCGTTTCGTCACTCAACTAGGTAACAACATCAGTGTTCAAAGGGAATGGGGATTTGTGGAGTGGAGGAGAAAGAAGGAAGAGGAAGAGGAGGGCTGTGGAGTACTTGGTGCTCTCAGAGCTTGGTGGTGGAGGTTTCGCATTTGCTTTTTCCTGCAAACCAACCAAGGGCAGAGAGCACCAAGGACCCCCTCAGAAAGAAGACGACGTGCATGTAAACTTTCTGAACTGTCTGTTAGGGTTTGTGGATTAACCCCTAGAATAGTATTGCAGCAGTAGTCAAACCAAGAAGCCAAAGGAGAGCGGAAGGGCCCCAGAGTATACACACACTGAACACAAACACTGTTTGTAGTTTAAATAGTTTTTAATCCAGTTAGAGTTTAAGCATTGTCATTCAGTCCATTAAGTCATTCACAGTATTTCCATCCAGTAAGACTCACTAGTATAGTCCAAGTTAAGAGTCCTTGCTATATCTTTATCAGCCGATAAAGATATCTTCTCCTCCTCCGGTTTCACTTTCCAGAGAAACAAACGCTGGATATTCAGCAGACAGTAGCAAACAATAACAGTTCAGTCACAGGCACTCACAGTAAGTAATCACAGTTAGTCGCAGTAGCACACAGTTACAGTTACAGCCAGCAAGTTCACAGTTACAGACAGCTTTCCAGCTTCTAATGCTTCCTTATATTGTAACTTCTAACCGCACCCTTAATCGGCTAATTGCCTGCTGCATTGTGCTTAAAGTGATAAGCACTTAAACCATGATATCTAAGTTTTATATATTTATTCACCCAAACCATATTTGGTATCAATGTTATACCTAACACTGTCCACCACCATTTTGTTTTTAATTTTAACTTCTCCATTCCCCAGTTGGTCATGGAGTATTGTGGGGCTGGGTCTGTCACAGATTTGGTGAAGAAGACGAAAGGGAATTGCTTCAAGGAAGACTGGATTGCCTACATCTGCAGAGAGGTCCTTCGAGTAAGTTCCCCTTGGGTTGAAATGTGGAAGGAAGCTCTTCGAGGCTGGGTTGGAAACGACCAACAGACAGGGACTCCTCAATCTAGGACTGCCATTGATCCCAGCATTTCTGTTGCTAAGCGAGACAGGCATTGAGTGACACTTGCACCATTTTACACCCATTCTCGCCACCATTACTAAGTGAATGCCTGCAGATGTTGTGTTAGTAACACGGTTGTTCGGTGAATCTGTCTTCCCCGTTGTGTCAGCGTTCCAGAAAAACAAGCAAAACTCTGAGACAGGCATTTTCTCAAAATCCCATTTTATTAGAGTTGTCATACTGGCACGTTAACGCCGGGTCATCTTACTTCTAGGGTCTGTCTCACTTACATGCCCACCATGTTATCCATCGAGATATTAAGGGGCAGAACGTGCTGTTGACGGAAAACGCCGAAGTGAAATTGGGTACGTATCTCATGCTTCTGGTTTTTGGGCAGAGTCTTTCCAGGCTGCTGTGTGACGAGCAGCCCGGACTGTCTTCAATGTCACAAGCCTGTTGTAAAACAAGCTGGAGTAACAGGTGGTCCTTGACTTATGAACACAGTTTGGTGAAGCTTAATCCATGGGACCCACTCTTAGAGAGGGCATGAGTGAAAAGCCCCTTATTTGAGAGTAGGCTTGGGTTTTGTTGGAAATGCCAAGATGGTTCACTGATTAGCAGCCCTCAGCCTCAAAATCAAAACCTACTCATTTTGTCTTGCGACATCAGCCAACATTCTTTGAACTACTCCTACTACTACTACTTCCTTCTCTTCTTCTTCTTCTTCTTCTTCTTCTTCTTCTTCTTCTTCTTCTTC